CTATGATTGGCTGAGGAGGAGAATTTTTCCTTTTATTGAGATCTCTCCTATGGGATGGGGTCCATTTTAAGCCCATCCATGCTAGTGCTCTTCCACAAAATCTGTATAACTCATGATAACTTCTTTATTCCTCCAATAGGGTAAATCTGCAAGGAAGTATAGTTCCCATTGCAGCCATATATCTTTTGATCTCCTATCGGGCAGGCTGTCCCAGTCTTCAAACTTTTGAATCAGCTATGAATCCCTCCCCCCCAAATCCAGGGAACTAATGTCAAACTCACCAGGTAGTTCTGTTGAAGTTGTTTTTGGGCTTGACTTATAGTAGGAGCTACAGCACTAGTACCTCTTTCCAGTGGCCTCTTCAGCCTCTCGGTGAAATCTTAGCTTGGAAGTGTGTGATCCAGCCTCTCAACTTAAAATATGGGAGTATTGACACCTATTTTGCTACTGGCATATGGAGCCTCTCATAAAACCAAAAGATTCAGGTTTAACATTCTGCTATCCAGTTCTTTGAAGGGTGGAGGAAGAATAGGCATAACGAGGCCAGGCCACTATTATGTTCTTGAAATCTTTTTTTTTTTATGGCCTACCATGTTACAGTATATCACTGGTCACTAAAATCAGAATAAATAAGTAAATTTAAGTGAATGAATTGATAAATGAAGACATGTAGTGCTTTTGTAGCCTCCCAAATCCTACTGTCCAGTGATGAAAAGAAATTGGTGAATTCCTTTTAAAAGTAATCCACATGAGACTTATTCATACACAGATGAGACTGTAGCAAGCTATTCACTTCAACTAGGTCATTTTATTTTGAGCTTTATTTTCAGCAGTTCAGTTTGAATGGCTGTCTAAACAGGTGTTTATTATTACTATGTGCCAGGCCCTTTACTAAGCACTTTGTGTATATTATCTTATAAATCATCTCAAAACTTGGTGGGATATATACTATTACTGTTATTTTTCAGATGAGGAAACTGATTCTGAGAGAGAGAGAGTGACTTGCCCTAGGTCATAGTTGGTAGTTGACCAAGCTAGGTTTGTCATCAGAACACTTGCTCTAAAGCCATTACCAGTGCTTTTTAACTATTCGCTCATTACAATCACGTGAGGAACTGTTTTATAATGCCATGCCCTAAGCAGTAACCAGACTGCTTCTCAGGGAATAGTGTACCATCCTAAATGCACAAGAAAAATGAAAATAAATAAATGAACTACCCTTTCAAGTTCAGGAGCTGGAGGAAAATGACAAACCCAGTGAAAGTAGATAGAAGGAATAAATTTTTTTAAGTGGAAGACAGTAATTTCTATAAAACCGTAACAATAAAGTTCTGGTGGTTGAATTTTTCTTTCTTTTTTTTAAAGGTCTAAAGGCATCACAGATGGTTGGGCTCAACTACTCTGGATCCTACAGACTTTGTTCTTCGGGATAGCATCTCTCTCCATCTTGATGGCTTACAAACCGAAACACCATAAACATACTTAAAGAAGATATCCAAAAGATTTCTCTATACTTTGACATTCAACTTCACCTTTTTGGGGGGAATGTTGTATTTAGAGAGTTAAGACCCTTTCATTATTCATATTCTTTCACACACTTGAGTTTGTGTAGGTAAACTGTCTTCAGACTGAGGTCTGAGCTTGAGTAGATAACAGGCAAAGACTTTTGCTTTCCTGTTCTGCAGAGTAACCTTTTGACAGAGGGCTTTCAGCTGCCTCGGGGTCCTTGGCTGTGTTGGCGCTCTCCCTGTCATCTGCTTTACCTGCTCAGTGTGCTTGTCGGTGCACCTCTGCTTCCACCTTCTGACTAACACTTCTCACCCTTACCACCAGCTTAGCTGTCCTTTCCCCCAACTTTTCTACCATTCTGGACAAAGACAGAGTGACATTTTCACAGCACATCTATTCCACACATTTATTAGGCATCTGTGAGTCACGATCTTATCTTCTCAAATTTCCGTTTCTCACACTACGGAGAAAAGTAAATGCCTTGAGCGGGGCAGGCTGAGCCGTTACACAGGAGCAAAGAACACACTGAGAACCCAGAGGAGAGGGCTGGGGAATACCTACCCTGATCCTGCCAGCCAGGAGTGGTTCTTCCCTCCATGTGGCCCCTGGGACACAGTGCTCTCTAGTGTGCAGGCGCTGATGGCCACTGCAAGATTGCTCCTTCAAGTCAGGACCGCATCTTAGATAGCTTTCTTTTTTCTTTAGTTCCTGGCCTGTTACCTTACACACGGGTTCTATCAGTGTTAATTAAACAAAGGAGGGAAACTCTTGATTTCACTTTCTACTTGTTCAGTATTATTCCAATTTTTACATGAAAACTGGAGAATCCATTCAGTGCATCCTCTTCTTAGGACTGCCATGCCTGGGAGTGCTGCCTTTCTGGTGGGAGCCTGTATCGTTTTCACACTTTCCTATTCTTGGTCACTTTCTCCAGACTGGAGATATCTCCCTTTAGCTCTGGCTTACTCAAAGATTTCTGTTCTGGAGGATTTAATTGGCCAGTTACTACCTCTCCCATTCACTTGGTTAAACCTTACGAATACTGGCTGGTTGGGGCAAGGGGTTCATTGAGTCTGTCCCCTGACCTGGGTAGAATGACTTGTCACCATTCAGGATTTTTTCCTGGAGGACTGCCTGCTTGTTCTGTAGAGTTTAGACTTTAATTTCCTTCCATGAGTAGGTGTGTTATTTTAAGTAAACATTTAGGAGAAACAGCTCACTCCCCAAAAAAAGAAGTCCCTAGTAGAAGATTTCTACAAATCTGTCTTTCCCTTTGTTATTCTTGCAAGTAAGGGGTTGGTACGGAAATAGATTTTTCATCATGTACTTAAACATCATGGAAATCCAGCCCAATTTTTTAAAAGCATGGCCCTCTTCAAAGAGAAGTAATGACAATAATATTAAGGGGGACAGGAACAGTATGTCGGATTATTGAATAAAATGATATGAATTATCTAATCAAATGCTTTTTTGAATGTCAGTTTTGATATATTACCACACATTTGATTCTACTTTTTCTCAAATAGATGATTATGGAATTATTTGTATAATTCAAATAACAGGGTTCCCCACTCCCCGCGCGTACTGGTACAGAAATGCAGAATGCCCTAGTTATAGGGCATGGGCTCCTCATTCCATTTATAGAGCTGCCCATACCTTTTGGGTCTTCTAGGCTACTGGAGAGTGTTTATCCCACACTTGGCACAAATTCTGAAGCCTTTATACCCGTTGGTACGAAAGGGCATCAAGTGGGACTAGAATGACATGTGCATCTGCCTTTCCTACAGCAAAGCGGGCAGTCAGAGCCATGCAGGCCTTAAGTGTGATAGACCCATCAGGGCCCTGTGAGCTGGTTGTTCATGTGACTGAAGACGGTTATGGCTGGGGTTTCTGGCAGCAGCTTGATCTAACTCACCAACCTATTGGATCTGGTCACAACTCTGGAAAGGGGCAGAGGTACAATACACTTCGATAGAAAAACAACTGGCAGCTGTGTATCACACCTTGCTGGCTACAGAACCCATCAATGGAATGGCCCCAATAAAGATAATAACCACCTATCCCATCTTGGGGTGGGTACAAGATGACCCAAAAGCCAAGGAGTGGTGTGGCACAAATGCTTACACTGGCCAAGCGGGGTGCCTACCTATAGCAGTGTAATGCCCTCTAGGAGCCCCTTGAGTGAATAACTCCAATGCTTATTGGGGCCAGTGGCATATACTAGTGAAAAGCAGGAAGAATTTACTTTAGAACCATTAGTAGCAGAGAGTCCTTATCAGGAGGGAAGAGCTCCTATACCCAAAGATGCATGGTACACAGATGGCCCCAGCTGTGGGCAGCCCCCAAAATGGAGGGCCCTAGCTTTCCATCCTAAGACTGAGACAATGTGGATGGAAGACGGTGAGAGGAAGAGCAGCCAATGGGCAGAGTTGCGGGCTGTGTGGCTTGTGATCAGCCAGGAGCCCTCCCCTATAGTTGTCTGCACTGACAGCTGTGCTGTCTATCGGGGCTTGACCCTGTGGCTACTAACCTGGTACCATGCCAACTGACTGGTTGGTGACCAACTCCTTTGGGGGCACGAATTGTGGCAAGACTTATGGGTCTGTGGTGAGACAAGAACAATTACAGTATACCATGTGACACATCCTTTGCCAGTGGCATCCCCAGGAAATGATGAAGCAGATAAATTGGCCCAGATATGTTGGTTAGAAGGAAAGCCTGCCTCTGATGTAGCCCAATGGTTCTATCAGGATTTGTTGAATGTGGGGCAAAAGATAATGTGGGCAGTAGCTTGTTGGTGGGGCTTGCTTTTGACCTTTGCAGAAGTTAGTAGAGCTCGGCAGGAGTGTGTTGTATGCTCTAAAAGGAATTTACACCAAGTTTCACAATAACATGGGACAATACCTAAGGGACCGATATCCCTCATCAGGTGGCAGATAGACTATATTGGGCCTCTACCTGTGTCAGATGATATCAGTATGCCATGACTTATGTGGATGTAACTACTGGACTTCTGGTTGCTTTTCCTACATGTTTTGCAAACCAGCAGACAACCAAAAGGGGCCTGGAGCATCTCTTTGCTGCCTATGGCTGACCACAGGTAATTGAGAGTGATCAGGGCACCCATTTTACTGGACATACACTGCAAGAATGGGTGCAACAGTTGGGAATTAAATGGAAGTTTCATGTGTCATACAATCCTACCACAGTAGGCATGATAGAAAGGTAAGGTATAACGGCTTGTTAAATCCAGGCTCAAGTCAGATACCAGTAGTCTACAGGGATGGTCAGTGCACTTATAGACCGTGCTACAGCATTTGAATGACATAGGGAGCCCTGAGCCCCATAGACATGTTAACACATATGGCTGCCTCCTCTGTACAACTGCAAATACAAACCAAGGAAGAATTGTTGAAGCCAAGGTTTGGCCACCAGAATAATATCTTGCTGCCAGCACCAACTGCACTGAACCCTGGAGACTCCATTGAGTGGACATGGCCTTGGACCTTTCATCACATGAACCAATGATGGCTGGCCCTCCTGGCACCTTGGGGACAAGGCCTGGAAGCTGGCCTCCTGTGTATTCCTGGAATAACAACAGAGTGGCCTCCAAAGATCACAGTAATATATCCTGAATGGACAGAAGGTAGGAGCATTTTACAAGGGAGTTTTATTGTTATGGCCAGTGCATGCACCTCCAGTAGGACTATATATAGACCCTTCAGTAACCCCTTTGGGGAGAGGAGTAAAAGTATGGTATACTAGATCTGGATAGGACCTCCTTCCTCCTACAGTCCTATCACAGGACCACTCTCTTGCATGCATCCTACCTGATGGACAAGATTTGCCTATGTTGGTGCCATTAAAACCTGGGTCTTACTGTCCTTAAGGTCTTTGTGGGTTGGGATCCTCCTCTGGCTTGAGGATTATTATAATTTTTGTTCAAAGTCTTGTTGTGTTTTACTTTATGTTATTATCTCTAAGTTGTTATTATCCTCTGTTGCTGTTGTGGAATCTGGTTACAGTGCTCCAGCTTTCTCACACAGGGACCATTGCAGAAGATTGAGAGCCTGTAGATTTTAAGGTGAGAATCCTGGATGGGTGGAGTGTGGGGAAATTGGGTTACCTATGGCCAGAATCCTCACTGAACTTAAACCACTTGATGATGTAACTGGCCTGTTGCTCGGCTGCTGCTTCCACATCCGTTAGCAATGAGCTATTGTGCTATATAGAGAACTCGGCCCAGTGCTCTGGGCAGAGGCAGAGATGCTAGTGCTTGACCTACCCCCAGGAGAACCAGCCAGGTAATAAACCCTTTCACCCCAAGAATGTTCTAATGTCATTTCTTTGGTCGCACTGAATCCATAGTCAACTTGCCCAGGGCTGAAACCCATTGGCAAACAGACCCCAATAGTTATATTACCAGGATACCTTCTTAACAGCCATCATATACCCATCATTTCTTTAGGGTCCTGAATAACTAAGAAAGTATCAGAATATTTGATTTACAAAATCTTGGGAAATTTTACCAACCTGATGCCCACCAGCTTCACAGTGAAGCAGGACCTGCTCATAGGAATAAGCATTCATGAAGATCCCTATAAAAGTATGTCTGTCCATATCTCAATATCTTCATCAGTCTCAGCCAGCCCTTTTCCTCAGTTTGGCAGCCCACATCCAATAAGTAAGCAACTGAGACTGTATCAAGAGAGGCAGAAAAGGGAGCATTTGATGTTTTCTTCTAGGCTCTTCTCTTCATCTTGTTCATACTTGTCATTTCAGGTTTCTGGTACTTGCCAGTTAGCTGAGTGCCCTGTTGCTCCAAGAGTTTAAGACTTCAAGTTAGTTTTCCAAAATGCCACTTAAATCTGCATGCCATTTCCATGACATTGAGTACAAGTGCTTACTGTGTGTACATCCTGCATAGGCACGGTGAAGAACTACAGCTGTAGTTACTTAACAAGGCTCTGAACCAAAGGACAGGCTCTAGTGCCCCACGGCACAAGGGACTGCAGACAAGGAGAAGCTGATGTTGCCCACAGGTGGGGTCATACAGGATGTTTATGAGAACAGAAGGCCCTCACTCAACCAAATATGCAGCTTATAAGAGCTCCCAGCGCTAACCACTGTGAGCCTGTAGAAAACTGGAGAACATGGACAAATACGAGGCCAGCAGGTGACAGCAGACTGCTGACACTTGGGAGGCCCAGTGTCACCTATGTCAATTCCATCCAGCATCTACATTTTAAATCATGTTCACCAGTGATCATGTACCTAACTATTCCTATTTTGGGGTAAGTGTTCCCCATCTGGCAGAGTGATAGAAATCCAGTGCACCAAATGTATGCTAGTTTTGTTTTTGTCCTCCTCCCAAGGTTTTTTTTTTTTCGTTTTGAAAAATATTAAGCTTCTGTCCTCTAGATTCACTCATTGTTAACATTTTGCTACATTTGCTTTATGTCTCCTTTGTATTTTTTGGGAGCAATTTGATACAAATACCCTGTCAGTTTACCACTAAATACTTCAGTTTATATCTACCAAGAACAAGGATATTCTCCTACATAACCATTAAATAATTACCACACTCAGGAAATTTAATATTGATACAGTACTATTATGTGCCATATTATATGCAAAATTGCACATTGTTGCAGTAATATTGTTTATAGCAGTTTTCCCTATTTCTGAATACAATCAAGGATCATGCACTGCATTTGTGTGTCATGATTCCTGTTAGTGATTTGCTTGGCTTCCAATTTGAGAACTGAACCATATAAACAGCCTGATAACAACTGCCTTTATCATTCGCTACAATTCCCGTTTCCCACATGGGTCACTGTGATCAACCCTGACCCTATGTCTTCAAGTCAGACCCCTCATCCTTCATACTTTACTGCCATGTCGGTCCCTCCCTGCCTCTGACCCACAGATAAGGGAGGAGACACGATGAGATATCAAAGACCTGAAAGGATCAGCCAGGGGACTCAAGGTGTAACAGCACAAGAGTGGTGCTGAGAAGGCACCTCTTATATTTATTGATCACATAGTTGTTTAATAACAATAGTATTCTGAGTTAGTGATTTCACACCTACATAATTATTAACTAATTCCACACCTAGTGTTTAGCTGCCTCCAGTTTGCTGGGGCACAACGTTCTCTAAAACATAAGAACAATGTAGGAACAGCCATGTCATGGAAACAGATCTGAGTTAAGATACAGCATTCCTAAGCATGCATCAGAGGTAATAGAAAAAACATTTTAGTCACGAGAATTAAAATATATTTCAAACCCACATTTCCCTCTTATTTTTTAATTAAAGAACACCAAAACAGTGGGCATAATACAAGCAAGAAGTCCACTTTTAAATTTAGGTATTAATTTAGCTGGGCGAAAACAGCAGAGAATGCCTCACATAAATGGGGGGATGAGGTTCTAAGCCTTGCCTCAGTTGGCCCCCTTCTCCTCGCCTGTTGGCCCCCTGCAACTGTGCCTGTCTTAGGTTGTTCCTCCCATGAGGAATCTTACTTGTCTCTGGCTAACTGGCCATCCTCCAGGGCCATACAGGGAGCTAGCATGCAGCAAAAAGAGGCATTTGAAGTAGGTCGATGCTTTTTCTCATACTCTTATGTCCAGCCATAATCATAAAAATCACAGAATACAGTGATTCACTGCACGAACTTTCATAGGGGGTATGTAGAAAGAGAACAATCACTTCTTAGATGTTACTTCTTGAAAAGTAGCATAAGCATGTATTGGCTTCAATAAACTAGTAATCAAATGACGTACCCACATTACCCAAACAGGAAGACAAATACATAATAGCAGTACACCTATAAGTATTGGCCATATCCAATGAAACCAAGAAAACCAATTTGATAATCCAGGCATTTGTGAAAACTTATCAATAACATGATGAATGTTATCTAATTGATTTTGGATAGTTTGAGAAAAATCAGACAAATTAAAACAACACATTCCTGGAAGCTGTTCACATCCCATATGTTCTTCTAACAATAGATAATCTATAGTAGCACGATTTTGAAGTACTGCAACTTGTACTTCTCCCAGTTCCTGGTTGAGTTCAGATAATATAGAAGCAGTCAAGTTTGTAGTCTTACTATATGCACAGGCCAACTTAGATATTTCATTTTGCATCCCAGTAGCAAGTCTGGGGACTGGCAAAAGGAATGCAGCAGCAACTGCAACAGCAGGAGAATTTAACAACTTCAAGTTGTCATCACAGCCAGAGGGTAGGGCTTGAGGAGATCTCCTACCCATATATCCAGGATGATCTATGAGAGCAGGAAGAATACGTCCTACGCCGCAAACACCTTGGTAACGTGAAGAAAAGGCTTGATAGGTTTTGTTATCACACAGAAACACCCAACCATTTGGGAGTCTATATCCATATGGCCATTTTACATGAATAGTGGAATTACAATCAGAAGGTATACGAGTACAATTAATACACATACAATCAGAAATTATAGTAGTACTGACAGGTTAATTTAATATCAAGCACAAGAATTCTAGGAGAATGGGTAATGCTTATACCTGACATACTGGTAAACACCAGGGGAGGAAGTCCTATTCCTATTAAGTTCTTTGTTAATAATCCACTAAGGGAAGAATCTCTTTTATTTATTTATTTATTTATTTTATTTTGGTATCATTAATCTACAGTTACATAAAGGACATTATGTTTACTAGGCTCTCCCCTTCAGCAAGTGCCCCCCACATACCCATTCACAGTCACTGTCCATCAACATAGTAAGATGCTGTAAAATCACTACTTGTCTTCTCTGTGTTGCACAGCCCTCCCCATGCCCCCCACTATACATGTTAATCGTAATGCCTCCTTTCTTTTTTCCCCACCCTTATCCCTCCCTTCCGACCCGTCCTCCCCAGTCCCTTTCCCTTTGGTAACTGTCAGTCCATTCTTGGGTTCTGTGCTTCTGCTGCTGTTTTGTTCCTCAGTTTTCTTTTGTTCTTATACTCCACATATGAGTGAAATCATTTGGTACTTGTCTTCCTCCACCTGGCTTATTTCACTGAGCATAATACCCTCTAGGTCCACCCATGTTGTTGCAAATGGTAGGATCTGTTTTTTTCTTATAGCTGAGTAATATTCCATTGTGTGTATGTACCACATCTTTATCCATTCATCTACTGATGGACACTTAGGTTGCTTCCATATCTTGGCTATTGTAAATAGTGCAGTGATAAACATAGGGGTGCATCTGTCTTTTTCAAACTGGAGTGCTGAATTCTTACAGTAAATTCCTAGAAGTGGAATTCCTGGGTCAAATGGTATTTCTATTTTGAGCATTTTGA